ATGGAGGATCCACATTAAAGTACAAATAATGTTCAGGGGAGATGATTTAGCAGTTCCCAGCACCAGACACTCTTGTTTGGGTTCCCAACATCTACATGGCATCTCACTGCTGACAACGCCAATTCTCGAGGCTTTGATGCCCTCTTCTGACCTCTGTGGGCACTGCATGCATGCTATGTAGAGGTCAAACACATGAATAAAATTTTTTTTTTTTTTCGAAACAGGGTTTCTCTGTGCATCATTGACTGTCCTAGAACTCACTCTGTAAACCAGACTGGCCTCAAATTCACAGGAATCCACCTGCCTCTGCCTCCCGAGTGTTGGAATTTAAAAAAGCATGTGTGCCACCACAGCCCAGCAAAACAAATATTTTAAGAATGTTTTTAAGTATACCCAGCAACTTTCACGTCACAACATGTAAGTGCTCACACCCCCTAAGAATCTTAAGGAAGGAAAAGTATTTTCCCCACTACCACTACCTTGGATCGTCCCCACACACCGCACCTTTGAGTGCACTGGCTGCAGCATTGATCCTTGAGTGAGTAGAGTGGAGCTTCCTCTTTACGATCACTCTGTAAACACACAATCCCACCCGAAAAGAACGGGAGTGCCCAGAAATAAAAGAAGTTACTTCAAAAAGTAGGGATCTGGCCTGGCAGTGGTGGTGCACCCCTTCAGTCCCTGCACTTTGGAAACAGAGGCAGGAGAATCTCTGTGAGTTTGAGACCAGCCTAGTCTACAAAGCAAGTCCAGGACAGCCAGAACTGTTACACAGAGAAACCCTGTCTTGAAAAACAAAACATAACAAACCAAAAAACAACAACAACAACAACAAAACTAGGGATCTAGAATTAGAATAATGCTTACTGTATATAGGCACTGCACTAAAAATGTAATGTTATCTCATCTAATCCTTAAAATCCTGAGGTAAACTGGGGGGGGATGGAGCATGCCTTTGATCAAAGCACTTGGGAGATGGGAGAAAGAGGCTAGCAGATCTCTGTGAATTCAAGGCCAGCCTGGTCTACAGAGTAAGTTCCCAGACAGCCAAGCTACAGAGAAACCCTGTCCCAAAAAACCAACCAAACAAAAAATAACCTTGAGGTGTGGGCCTGGCTCAGCACTTAAGAGCATTTGCTGCTCTTGCATAGAGGAACAGATCTGATCCCTAACACCCACATTTGGGGCGCGGGGTGGGGGGTCATAACCATCCTTAACTCTAGTTCCAGAGGATCTGACACTATTTCTGACCTCCATCAGCACTCACGTGGTACACATACATACATGCAGGCAGGCGTAACACCTACACACATAAATGAATAGGCCTTAAAACAAAAACATGGTTTGGCATGATCATTACCTGTATTTGTGCCCATGAGGAAACTGAGGGTCAAGAGGTGTAATAAGTCTACACCCAAATCACATCCCATGCTGTCATTCTTGCTCAGTCCGTCTCAGTGCCCCCCAAACTTGTTTCTCCTTCTTGCACTTAGAGTGAGGGGCAGTGACTCTAGTTGTAGGTAAATTGCATGGCTAGAAAACACCTCAGGGATTATTTGCTCCAAGCCCCTTTTTAATTTATTTTTTATTTTATTTATTTTATTTTATTGAGACAAGTTCTCACTATGTAGCCTTGGCTGGCCTGAACTCGATACTACATTGGGCTAGCCTTGAATTCAAAGAGATCCACTTTTCATCTAAAGGCGTGCATCACCACATCTGCTTAAAGGTTCCTTCCTTGTTTTAACGAGACAGGAACTTGGGGTCAACGAAATTCCCATTGTATGGGGCGACTGAAGCTGGGCGTCGGCATGGAGTTCCAGCTCTTTGGAGGCAGAATCCTGTCGAAGGCCAGGTGCGCTGGTCTCCCAGGAAGAAGGGTTCTCCTTCCACATTCTCTTAGCGCCCACTACGCCCGCCCGCTGTGCGCTCGTGCAGGAGGAGTACCTGTGTGCGGCGGGCGCGCAGGCTCTCCGCTGAGGGCCACACGATTTAGAGACTGGCTCAAGATGGAGCGGCACCTTGCAGGCCAGAGCGAAACACTGCTCTCGGGACGCTGAGGCCCCGGGAGAGCGCGGACGCCGGCACACCCAGGAGAACTTGGCAGCGCTGGTCCCAGGAGGCAATTCCCCCCACTTTGTCCTCGTAATGGTCTGTAGACCCGGAAACCTAGCTCCTAGCTTCTAAGGGAACAACATTTTAACCCCTCACAGCACAGCTAACTGTCTGGCTTACCCGGGGGTCGAGGTTTCCACGGAAACGAGAAGACGGTCTCTGTGCCTGCGCAGTTGCGCTAGACACACTGGGAAATGTAGTTTTCAGGTAGTCTCTGCGAGGCCTGAGAAATGGCCACAAGATGGCGCCCGAGCGTCGCGTTTGGTTCTCATGAGCCAGAGTCTCTGCTCTCGCTGTTGCTGTGGCCTGAGGCGAGGCTGCCAAAGCCTGAAAGGTCAAACTCTGGTACGGCGCAGGCGGTGTGGCGTCCACGGTGCGGAGTAGAGGCGGAAGCGCGAGTTCTGAGGAGGGTTTAATTTTACTGTATTTTTAAACGGCGTAAAGAGGCTCTGGGCCAGGAGAAGGCTTTGAAGACAGGAACTAGCCCAAGGTGGGGCTACCTTGAGAGATGCGAGCTCTTCTTTACCCTAAGTAGGGCTGCAGTGTCAGGTGGGAATGGAATGGGAACCCGGACGCAGGATTTTAATGTCCCTGCCTGTTGGAGTTGGGCGTTTCCAGGCGGTTCTCCACCGCTTGAGCACTATTGTAAAACCAGAGAATTGACCTCTGAGAAACAGACGTCTCAGTGCTGGGAGTGAGGCTCCTGGATTGAAATCTAGAAACCCAGAATCTGACTGAGGCTCTCCTGGATTCAGTAGTTTCTTCTAAGGCGTGGTTCCTAAACAGCAGTGGTTGTAAGGCCTGCCCTTTGCCCGCCCGTCTGACAGTACTGGAAGGTGACTTGGGCATGTAGACTGGATGGCCCTTTAAGGAGGTAGACATTCCCATTGCCGTAAATTCCCATTGCAACTTCCTGGAAGGAAATTAGGCAATGTCTCATGAAATAAAAAAATGCAGTCTTTGCTTTAGCAATCTTAGAAATATGTCCCACAGATTTAGTAGCAAACAAAATATTTTTGTAAACAAAAATACAGACAAGAGTACTTAGTGAAATGTTACTTGAAATAAGATTTTTAAAAATGTTAAGTATACTGTTTATCAGTGAATGGCCTCTTATATAGCCCGGCAAATGGCACAAACCTTAAATCCCGACCCTGTAGCCTTGGCTCTGTAGACCAGGCTGGCCTCAAACTCACAGAGATCCTCCTGTCTCTCTCTACCTTTTGAGTGCTGGGATTAAAGGTGTGTGCCACCACCACCCGGCTTAGAATTTTAATATGCTGTTGTCTAGGGCCAGTGGGAGGACTCAGTGGATCAAGACACCTGCCACCAAGACTAAATACCTGAGTTCAGTCCTTGGAACCTCCATGTTGGAAGAACTGATTCCCTCTGGTTGTTCTCTTGTCCTGGCATATGTGCACATGCACACACAAAGTATAAAAATGTAACTAAAATTTTTAAATGCTACCACTTACATTTCCAAAGAACACACATACTACTGGATTTGATTACATAACCATCCTTGGAGGCCTCAGAAGCTACGAACAGCCGTTGCCTGTGAAGATGGAAGGGAGGCACTAAAGAGTAAACAGAGACTAAATTCTTCTTTTCTGTTATGCTCTTTAGCAATTGTTTGAACTTTGTATACACATCGTAATTATTCATCTGTATTTCTGATGCAAACAGTTTCCTTAATCCTCCTTTCTAGGGTCCTTGTGAACAGGGGGCTGGAAAGAGCGGAGTTTGTGACTGTCCCTGCTTTTTGAGCTGAGCAAGCAGCAGGAAGCCGGGCTGCCCTCCCAACCCTCATCTCCCCAGGCCTCAGCGTTCTGGTGTGACTCCTGCTTAGCTGCCGGAGGGAAAACAGCCCCATGTTTGCTCAGTACCTTGGGTCAGTAATGAACTAGCTTCACTGTACCCCTCCTTCTGACCCTATGCATGCCACCAGATGGGTTTAAATGACTCTTATTCCAGAGAGCACTCAGAAGCTGAGCTCCAGTTGTGCCTAAACAAAAACCAAAGAGAAGTGGGGGTGACGATGGGGGGTAGTGTTTATGGCTTCCCAGGTTTGCTTTGTTTTACAAAAAACAAACCAACTCTGGGTGCAACTTGGAAGTGATATAGCCAAGGCTGAGACTCAAGTCCACCCAACTCCCCACCAGACTTCTCCACTTTAAGGTTAGGACAGGACTGGACTACCCCAAGGCTTTGGGAAAGACACTTTCATGAAACTGGACACACATGTCTGGAGTCAGTCCTGGCACTGAACACGCTTCCCCGCAACTAGTGGAGTATGTCATCGTGTCCTGAAACACAGAGCATGATCTTGGGGCTAGGATGAAAATGACATCTCTTTCTTTTTGCTTTCGTTTTTTTGAGACAGGGTTTCTCTGAGTAACCCTAGCTGTCCTGGAACTCACAAGAGACCCGCCTGCCTCTGCCCCCATGTGCTGAGATTCAAGGCTTTGGAGGTGATTCTTAAGACCCAAACATCCTCAAGAACTAGCACCAAATATCCTAAACGAAGTCCAGCCTTAAGGACAGGCTTCGTTTGTCCAGGTAGGCAACACAGTTCCTGCTTCCTCACAGTTAACTCCCTGTGCCAGCAGAACCACAAGTCTGATGCTCATTATATGCCTGCTCTCCCTGCTCCTGTTGATGGGCAGGATGGCTAACATTTACCTAGGCTGTACCCTAGAGATGAGGAGATAGCACTGGCTATCCCTTTCCCTCCCCCAACACACCGCTCAACCAAAACAGGTCTGTCACAGGACACCTGAGAGACGTGAGAAAGCTAGAGCAGGGAGGAGAGGGGAAGTGTGGTGTGTCAACAGAGAAGGATCTGATTGAAAGACAGATGGCTTTGTCACCAAATGGAAAAATACTTAGTATGAAAATGCTTTTATTTCTCAGGACAAAGCCAGATACTATTTGACTATGAAAAACTTGACTGGCCAGAGATCTTCAAGAATAAGACTCCCTTTAGCCCAATGACCTGTGACCTCCCTTTAGTCCTGGGCCATGGAAGGACTCAGAGCAGCAGCAGAGACTCGGGTCGACTGTGGGGGGAAGGAGGGCTGTGAGTCTCTCAGAGCCTGTGGGGCTGGGATTGAAAGTGCTGTCTGCCTCTGTGGCCACTGGTCCCCTGGCCTAGCTGCCTGTAGGACTGTGGTAGGCAAGGGTGGAAGGAGCAGGACGGAATGGTCAGAAGTCGAGGGCAAGGGGGACTCGAACCAGAAACTTGCCCAGAAATTTCTGGCTTTAATTTCATGGCTGCATAAAGTGTTAGAGTTTGTGGGAAATGAAACCAGGGTGTTACTACCCTTAAAGGCACCAGGAATGGGTCTACCCATATACGTTATGAAGAAAAGTTGTGAGCCCTTGACAGGTAGACCTGGGTCTGAGACCTAAGGCTGCAGGAAGTGACAAAGGTCTAGGGACTGCTGGGGAGGAGCTGTATGGAGTGTGCAGGCCCACGGGTGCAAAGGGTGCTCATCTGAGGAGTCTGCTTAATGTCTAGGGGACATAGTGTAGAGGCCTAGGCCCCACCCTCCTCTCTGCTGTCGTCTACACTGGCCTGCCTCACCATTCTCCGGAGCCTCGGTGGAGAAGACATACCAGCCTCCCCCTGCCCTTGCCCCTGCTCTTGGAAGGCCCGGGTCCTGCTGGCCACCAGGGCAGCACTGTGAAGGGCAACCACAGACTGGCGAGACTTCAGGGCAGGCCAAGGCCCCCTGCGAACTCGCTGACCACCTTTGGCTATTGAAAGCTGAGAGAAGCGGCGAAGAGGCTCTTCATCCGAAGGTTCATGGGAAGAGAAAACCTGGGTGGGGGAGAAAAAGCCATAGGGTGCTCAGAGCCACACTTCCCAAGGGAAAAGCAGCACCCAGCCTGTTCCTTGGCTCACCTGCTTGAGCTTTCTTCTACTCCCTAGAACCTGACTTCAGCCACCTTCCCCTCTCACCCCTCTGCCTTTGCACATTCAACCCAGTGAGCCACAGCTGCAACCGACAGGTGCCAGGCCTGGAAGGAGCTCTATGGACACCAGTGGCTGGGTGCCTCACAGGACACTTGCCTGTGACAATACCCACCATTATCCCATGCCTCCCTATCGGTCCATACCCTGCACCTAAACGTTCTGCCTGCACAGACTCCTTCTTTGGGTCAGCCATGTGACCTCATGTCACATGTGAGGCCTGGCTTCCTCAGGCAAGGGCCAGCTTCCTGTCCTAGCTTGTGCCCAACAGCACTCAGCACACAACATGCTTGTCCACTTAATCAGTAGGTGGACTGTGGGAGTGCAAAGGCCTTCTCTGCTCTGTCCTTTGCTGTGTGACTCCTCGGCACTCAGGACAAACTTCAGGAATGTTCTCCCCTATGCTCTCTAGTGCAGGGAGCTTTTCCAGCCATCAGCTGGCAGTGGAGTTCATGGCCTGGGGATGATGCTCACTCCAAAGCTAGGAGCCAAGGCCCTTAGGAAACAAGCCAGTTTGTCAGGCTGGGACTGGACTGTTCCATGTTCCAAGTCAGACCTGCAACTGCTTAGCCCCTGGGGCCACTGCTCTTGCCTGGCTTGGCATAAAAGGAGGAGCCCAAAGGTGGTCCCCATCCTTAGGTACTCAGGGTGTCTTGAGTTGCCTGGCACTGTCTGATGCAGAAAAGTGTAAGATGGTCAGTGTGGAAGAGGCAAAACAACACCCTACTGTGAGGGGCCTACCGGAGCCCCAAGTCAAGCTCCAGCACTTGCTCCCATATTCCCTTCTGCCAGACAGAGCTCTCCAGCCCAGCCTCACCTCGGGCAGGTCTCCAGCCTCTGGGGTACTCTCTGGCTCTGAAGAGGGCTCCAGGAGACTTATGGAGCGCATGACTCCTCGGAGATTGATGCGGGGCCTCAGCCCAAGCTCTTCTTTGGGGCTTTCATTGCTTTCCTCCAAACCCATAACCATCACCTCCCCACTGCCCCCTGGTTCTGGTGGAAGAGGTGGCAATGGTGTAGAAACTTCAGGTGCCACAGGCTCCTCAGGGGAGACCACACCCACTTTCTGCTCCCAGACATGGCTCTGCCGGCTGTGAGGAGGTGGCTCTGAGTCAGCTTTGAGTGACATAGCAGCCACCCCCCAGTATACACATCAACTTCTCCCTTGTTCCCTCCCCCTATACCTGGCAGTTAGAATGCCCTGGTAGGTCTGTAGTTGGCGCAGGAAACCAGGGTTGGGGCGCACGATGGGCCGGACTTCCTGCACATGGATCAGGGCTTGCTCCAGGCCCCAGCCATACTGTTTCATGGCATAGGCCAGCACCGTGGCAGCAGAACGGCTGACACCCATCTTACAGTGGACTAGCACCCGAGTGCCCTGTGCTCTGTGGAGGTGGGATGTGGTCAGTCCATTCTCCCTCAACCCCCATAGCCTGTGGACTGGCAAGGGGCAGATAAGGGCATAGGACCCAGCAGAAAGGGCATGAGGATAGAGAGGGCAATGAAGGGAACAGAACCAAGGGCAAGATGGGCAGGAGGAGGGCACCAGTCCCCACTGGGAGCTGGGTTTAGCCAGTTCTGTGTGGGCTGGGGCAGCAGAAGCTGGGAGGAGCCCAACCTGGCATCCTCAATGAAGCGGTGTGTCTCCTTCCAGTAGGGCAGCAGCTGTGTGGACTCCTCATCCCAGACACGCACGTTGTGATACTTGAAGCGGTCAGGGAAGAAGTTGTCAATCTCTCGGGCCATGTTCAGGATGTGGCTTACCCTGTACCGGGGGGTCCAAAACCAGACTGATGTGGCCAAGGAACCAGGCTCACTGGCCATTTCCGTTTGGTACTTGGCTCTGAGTCAGGGGATGACAACACTTGGAGCAGGAAGAGAGCTGAGCCAGCCAGCAGCCGATCGACCTTGGGCGCACTGTTTGACTCTGCTGGGAATGAGTTTCCCTGATGAGGTGGCAACACTAACCCTCTTCCATGATTCTGAGAACCTAAGCTGAGGTTAGGGGCTCTCAGCAACAGGTGATAAAGGCTATAGCAGGTCTCCCAGAAGCCCATGGTGGGGGATGGCAGGTTCCTTTCAGAAGTGGCAACCACATCCCTACTAGAAGAAGGTATTTTCTTCTGCCTGAAGAGGTGACCAGGTGGGAAGGAACCTCTTCTGCTTGGCAAGTTCCACCAACGCCCCTTGTCTCAGCACAGCTCAGACCTCATTTCTGCACTATCCTGTGTGCTTAGTGGGGCCGATGGCCAGGCTGTTAGGCCTTAGAGCCCAAGTGAATTCAACATCCCCAGGACTGGATTAAAGCAGAAACAGCAGTGCTGAGGGTGATCTCAGGTTCCAGAAACTGGCCACGGAAGGCTGCGAGAATGACTGGCGGTCCTGAGGCTGGGAACCCTACCTGTTTCTCTGAAGTTCCTCCAGATTGGCAGCATTCCACTCAGAGCCCTGTGGAGTGGGAACAGAAGAGCACCGGGCTCCCGTGGTCTGCCTCTAGCTACAGGACCTGCCATGGTAGCTGCGTGGGTGACCTGGTCCCTACCTCTAACAGCCTGCACTCACCAAGTAGAGGTGGGGGAAGATGCGGGAGGCCCGGTCTTGCTGGGCCATGAGCAGCAACATCTGGTTGTCAATAAAGTCACGGTACTGCTGGAGAGGGCATCCCAGACGCAGCTCCAGGGCCTGGCGGATCTATGAGTATGGTGCAAGGGAGAGAGTCCAGGTCCCCATGCTTATGAAGCTTCTGAGGATGGTACCCTGTCCCATCTACACAGAGCTAAAGTCGGGGATTGGGGAATGCCTCAGAGCTGGAGGAAAGCAAAATGAGAAAGGCCCTAAAAAAAAGGGTGAGTCTCAGGCCCCCGGACACAGCCACCCTGCCCACCTCTTTGGAAGTGACACTCTCTAGGTCACTGCTGTCCAACACCTGCCACAACTCAGCCAGGATCGCCTGCTCCATCTGCTCCTGTTCTGAGGCCCTGGTAGTGATCCTTCAGTAAGAGGCCTTTCCCTCACTGTGGTCCCCCACCCTGCCTCTGCCCTCCATCCTTCCCCTCCCCAGCACTGACTGTCCAGGCTCAGCGATAGGTGGTCGCAGGGACTCCAGGTCAGACATGGCCATCCACTCATTGAGGCAACCCTGGTCAGAGTTCAGTTTCTCCTGATAGTGAGTGGCCCAGACAAGGGCACTGCCCCCAGGCACAAGGCCACTGCCTAGAGCTGCCTCACATGCCTGGTGTAACACCTGCAGCGTGGCCCTGGGACAAGAAAGAGAGGCTAAGACACATGGTCTTACTTGGTTCCCTCTCCTGGGCCTAGAGGACATCTCCCAAGAGGCTGACCTAAGGCTAGGCTGCTGCAGCACTTACCACATGGTCTGGATGGAGATGGGCTTGAAGATTCGGCTCAGACCACCAGATGTCACACTGAAGCCCCTGCAGGAGACCCAGGGACCAAATACCAGCCTCTCAGAGAACCTGCTCATTAGTCAGGTGGGGGGAGGCTGAAGCCCAGAGTCAGGTGACTTTCCCAAGATCAAGCAGAAGAGTAGGTCCCGCCCTAGTCCCATTGCTTTTTAATGCCTGCCTCCCCTTTCTCCTCTTCCCCGTCCTGTTGCCATCTCTTACCCATCGCCATCCAGGTACACCTGGGTATCACTCCAGAGGGGCAAGACCAGGCCCAGGGTACAGCTGTGAGAGCTAACGGGACAGGAGAGCCATTGGCCCTTAGAACCTCACATCTCTGCCCCAGCCCTCCTCTCCCTGCTCCTACCTCCTGTCAGGAAAATCCACCCCCAGAAGAATGGTTTCCTGACTCAGACACTCTCCTGTGGATACTACCAGCAGGTAGCGGAGTCTTGGGGGCCGGGATGCCTCCAGCTGGGCTGCCTGGGAAAATAAAGAAGCCCAGAATCACAGGAGCTCCTGGCTCTGTTCCTTCACTTCCACACAGACATATCTTGCTTCTTGCTAGCCCCTGCTCCCTCTAGCTCCCATAGAGCCCATCAGTGGCTACTTAAAGACACAGTGATACTCAAATTTTGCAGTTTATGACTCAATAACTGCCTTTAGAAGCCTTAAATGGGGAGTATAAGAAAAGGAGGGGAAGCTGGGTGCAGTGACACACAACTTTAATCCTAGCACTTGGGAGGCAGAGGCAGGCGGATCTCTGTGAGTTTGAGGCCAGCCTGGCCTACAAAGTGAGTTCCAGGACAGCTAGCATTGTTACACAGAGAAACCCTGTTGTAGGCCCCCAAAAGAAGGGAGGATAGCATTAATAGAGGCGGCCTCATTTTTCTCCCTCTGCCCAAGGCAGCCTTATTTCTGCCTAGCAAAGGGTTTTATTATTTTTTTTAAATATGTTACTTGTAAGGACGCTTTGTCTGCATGTATGCATCCTGGTACCCAGAGAGAACCAGAAGAGTGTCAGCTATCCTGGGACTGGAGTTAGAGATGGTTGTGAGCTACCCTGTGTGTGCTGGGAATTGAACTAAGGTTCCTCTGGAAGAGCAATCAGAGCTCTTAACCCCTGAACCATCTCTCCAGTTCTGCAAGGAGGTTTTAAAAAACATTGCCACTCGCCAATATTTTATTTGAGAAATGCCTTCTACGAAAGGAACGGTGTAAGGCCTCATTCATGCTAAAAGGATTTCATCTTATAATGGGTTGGAACAACACTCCTGGGGCTGGAGAGATGGCTTAGTGGTTAAGAGGACTGGAGTTCAATTCCCAGCATCCACATGGCAGCTCACACCTGCTTGTAACTCTAGTTCCAGGGCCCTGACACCCTCACACAGGCATATATGCAGGCAAAACACCAAATAACATAAAAATAAAATAAAAAATAACATTCCTGTTCTGAACTCTGCTTTACCAAAGCGTGCATCTTGTTTTTCATACTTTTGCCAACAGCAAGTATCTGCCTCTACACTCGTTCGGGAGCTGACTCTAAGGCTCCAGTAAACCCCAGCCTTCTGTGGGAGCTCTGTTTGCCTGCCTGGCACACCAGCTGCCGAGGCGTGCTTCACAAACCCTGGGAGTGTGAGTCCATCTCTGGGCAGCTCTCTAGTATCAATAGGGGTCTCCTGTGGATTAACAGAAACCTCCCTCATGTACCCCTATCTCTTGGGTCATGCAGGACAAAGCTCCCTTGTCTTTCACAGTCCTCTGGAGAAAGATAAGCTCTTGCCCTGTTAAGATGCCTCTAGCTGAAATGGCAGAGTTCTTGGGGTTTGGGTAATCCCCCCTCCAGTTGCCTGGGTGACCCCTAATCTCACAGTATTGCTCCTCAATAGACACAAGCTCCGCTGGGCCCCTTACCAGGCGGATGTCATCCTGTGGCCTCAGCAGCTCTACCATGAGGTGCAGATGTTGTCTTTGCACTTGTTTCCAGGGACTCTGGAATTCTTGCCCATTGTCGGTCTGGTCCTCAGTGGGCTGCTTCTCACCCAAGGCTTCCTCCATTGACTCAGAGACGGCCTCAGCTGCACTATTATCATCTCCTCCATCTTGAAGTCCCAGAACAGCCCCTCGGAGCACCGCAAAGCTCTGCCTGGCAGAGCGATGGGGAAATGGTTCTGGTCATAGATTTTCAAACTTTAGCAAGGGTGAGTCCCCTGAAGGGATTGCTGCAATGGATTGCTGGCCTGCTCTTCTGAGTCAGCCCTCCTGGAGTGAGGCACAGTTTGCATGTTTAATCAGGACCCTGACAGTGCAGCACCCAGAGGGCCAGCCTTGGGCTCACATCGGGGATGTGTCCCTTTTCTGGGTAGGTTCGAATGCTCGAAGCTTGTCTAGGCACCTATACATCTTCAGGTCCCATCCTGCCCTTGGGCCTGTGATCACTGGCCTGAGCCAAAGTTCAGGTAATGTGTGAAATCATCCACTGACCAGGGCCAAGGTAGCCCTGCTGGTTCTTCCACAAGCCAGGGATGTGATGTTTGCCAGTTCTACCCACAGCACCTGGCTCTCACTTCTCACCTAAGCCTGGGTTTATCTGAGAATACTTCAGTGAGTCCTTGGTCCAATCAAGACACCTGGAGTTCACAATGGCAGCAACCAGACCACAGGCTACAAGGAAGCCATGTGTCTTGAGAAGGGACTCACCTGCGCTGGAGACGGCCTCTGCGCCTGACCACTCGGTCCTGCTGAGAAAGCAGCCCGGGGACAGAGTAAGCAAGCAGCCCCCAGGACAGGAAGCACCCAAAACCTCTCCTTCTTTCTTTTCCCTCAGGGAAACCCTAAGTGGGAAGAAAAAAAAAATCTCCTCCCTCTGAAGCCGATCCCCTCCACAGGCCTCAGGGGAGTCCCGGCCTGAGTACCGGCACAGCGGGGCTGCCAGGGTAGGGGGTTACAGAGTGTGGGAGGGATCTGGGCGAATCTGGGCCTCTGCAGACTGGGCTGGCTCTCAGGACTCCGCATCTACCTAGGTCGAGCTCCTGGGAGCCTCAGGACCTCCCAAGTGCCCTGGAACGTGAGACTCAAGAAGGTCCCTCTCCGCCTACTCCCAGGCGTGAGGCGTCTGCCAGGGGCAGGACGTACTCCCTCAGGCCCAGCTGGAAGCCAACTGCGAAAGGGTAAGTCCGAGCTAAACTCACCGTGGGTCCCACAGGCGTGGAGTGGCCACTAGCCGGCGGCGAGCGACTCACTGTAACCAGCGCCATAAAGCCAGGCCCGGGTCACCTGGACGAGAACCCGGCACGACCCCTCCCACAGCCCTTCGGTCAGTCTCTGCCTTCGCAGGACCAGGAAGGAGAGATTGGAGCCACTAGGGCCGGGCACCTACTCGGGAGCGGCCCTTAAAGGGCCCGACTCATGCCCAGTCCGGCCTCACGGAGCTCGTACCGAGCGGCCGCGGCCCCTCCCCTCCAGGCTTGGCTCAGCTCGCCCCGCCCCGTCCACGCTGGAGGCGGGGCTGAGGGTGGGGCCAAGGGCGGGGCACAGGTGAGGAGCCCAGACCTTAATTTCTCCCCCAGGCTTGGATCGCTGTTCCCACAGGAAGCGCCCAACCCTCCCTCCTTGCTACACCTAGTAAAATCACTTGATTAGCTTTGAACGTCCAGGAAGGAGCAAGAACGATAGCTTTTTTTCTGGGTTGTTTTTTTTTTTTTTTTTTTTTTTTTTTGGTTTTTCAAGACAGGGTTTCTCTTTGTAACAGCCTTAGCTGTCCTGAAACTTGCTCAGTAGACCAGGCTGGCCTCGAACTCACATAGATCTGCCTGCTTCTACCTACTGACTGCTGGCCTCTGGAATTTAAGGAGTGAGCCACCACTGTCCATCACCGTCCGGAGTCTTTTTTTTTTTTTTTTTTTTTTTTTTGAGACGGGGTCTTACTATGAGTCTCTGACATGCTTGGAACTCACTATGTAGATCAGGCTGGCCTGGAGTTCACAGAGATCACCAGCGTCTGCCTCCCAAGTACTGGGATTAAAGACTTCTGTCACCATGCCTTGGAATACTGGGTCTTTAATCTACAGTCCAAACTTGTTCTCCTTTTCGCTTAGCCTTCTTTCCTCCACTCTGAGGAAATGATTTTGGGTCTTAGCAATAGTCCACAAAGCACACAGGCATTTCAGGTCTACTGTAGTGGTGAACCAGACAAGACTGAGCCTCTTCCCCAACTACTGCGCAGAGCGGATCGGGGTGTAACTTGCTTAAAGTCCCTCTGGTAGAAGATATTTGGATCTGGGTAGGAATCTGTGCCTACGCTGCAGGGACAAGGGAGGAAGCTTCCTCAGTAAAGGGTAGAATAGGGAGTCCCAGCCTTTTTCTCTCCCCAGCAGGAGTTTGGGCCAGGTTTTGGGGATGCAGGCACCTGGAATTGGGGTGGGTGAGGCAGCACCCAGGGGAACTCTCAGAATTTCCTGGAACACCTACCCTGTGAGGGGATGGCCTTATTTTACAGCTGAAGAGCTAGAGGACCCAAAGCTGAGGTCACCATCCTCAGTCGTCCTCCACCCAGTGTCCCCCTGGCTGCAGCCCAAGGAGGACAGCAAGCCCACTGCTGATGGTCTCTTTATTTCCACCTCGGCCGCACGGCCAGCCTACCTCCAGGGGGCCAGACCCCACGCTCAGCAGCAGTTTATAAATAAATAAATAGAAAACAGGCAGAAGGAATGACCCCAGAGAGCCTTTCCAGGGCCAGCCAGCTCAGTGCTCTGTGAGTGACAGCCGCAGGATCCGCTGTAGGTCTTCCTCCTCCTGCTGACCCCGTCGTTCCTGCTCCTCCTGTTCCCTGGAAGACAACTCCAGGGCCAGGCGAAGCTGCTCCTCAAAACTTGGGGGTGCAGGGGATGGAGGTGTCCTCTGAGGAGATGCTGGCCCCCTGGACTCTGTGGACAACTGCAGGCTCTCCTGGAGGGCCCTTCAGGGCAAGGGTTGAGGGGAGAACAGACCAATGAGAAGGCTTGGAGAGAAGCGTTTGTGAGATGACCTCATGTCATCGTGAGAGACAAGCAGTCAGGGAGAGAGACAAGCAAGACTCTTTTGGCCTGGCCTGGTCCTTGTAGTGAGCAGCATTTTGTCTTGGGAAAGTATGGAGCCCTAGGGTTAGAACTCCCTTGTTTCCCACCCCTCCCCCCACCAGCCAGCCAAGGACCCACACACAGAGTTCCTGGGGGACTCACTGCTCCAGCTGAAGCTGCTCTTCAAACACTGTGACTTGGGGAGGAGGAAGAATGCCAGGCCGCGTGTTGGTCAGGGCTTCCCACACAGTCACCTGCAGCAGAGCCCAGAACTGTCACCTCAGGCCTGTGGCTGTAGAGGTCGTGGCCCACCTTCCACCTGCATCACCCCACCTGCTCTGCCTCCACCTGCATCACCCCACCTGCTCTGCCTCCACCTGCGTCACCCCACCTGCTCTGCCTCCACCTGCGTCACCCCACCTGCTCTGCCTCTGTGCCGGCCTCAAGCAGGCTCTGCTGGATGGCGAACTGCAGCAGGCTGTCATCCTCATCTGGAAGGGGCTCACTGCGCTCAGCGCCCAGCACGCTGTACCCCTCAGGCACCTCGAACACTGTGGGGTCCACCTCACATGGAAAAGGGCTTCCTGGGCAGAGTACCAGCAGGGTCACATTCAGCCCCAAGGCTGATCAGACAGCTGAGCAGTCACCTAGCCCTCCTGGAGCTATAGCCATACCTGAAGCCGAAATGGCAGAACTGGGGGCGGGGACCCACACCGAGCTTACAGGCTCATCACAGCCACACAGGTTACTGAAGGTGATTCGGGCATTGAGCACGTGGAAGAGAGGAATCTCTGAGAGGAGAGAGCCAGGCTTGAGTTGCTTGCCCCCTGTAGTAACCTCAACCCTGAGGAAGGTGTCATGCCTATGTCCTGGTTGCCCCTTAGTCGTCTTCTCACCAATCTTGACAGGGAAGCCTGGTGGGAGGCGTAACGTGATGAAATCCCGCAGCTTGGCAAAATGAGCATTGCTGATGGCCATCAAGTCAATGATGGGTGTCACCTGATCACCCAAGGACAGTGGGTGCTCCTCACTTAGCCACAGCGTTGCCTTGAACCTATCCAGCCGACCAGAGAAAGTGTGTCAGGAACCCCTGGCACCTCACTCTTTCCAGTCACCTGTCTGTGGTACCCTTCTCCCTGCTCAGCTCCTATTGACTGTTGCCCCTAGGAACTCAGCACTGGCTCTAAAGTCCGAGATGTCTCAGCCCCTGGCGCATTTCTGGGGCTGAGGGCTCTGTGCCACTCTTTTGATCTGCATGAGGAGGGGTAGGAGCCAGCCTGGGCTCATCTCTGGGCCTTGTCCATAGCCCAGTCTCTATCTAAAGCTTGTCAGCACCATACACTTGAGTATGCTGGACATACAAACACAAAATCACTGTGCTCGAGTGTTAAGCACAGCCCAGAGGTCAAGACTTTGGGGTTTAATTCCCATCTCCAAACAATGTGTGAGTAGAGACACGTGAGGCTGCGTGGAGTCTGTTAGATTTGCTCTAAGGCACTGTCACTGTGTCTACATCCGTGTGACATGAACATCTGGTGGACTTTCTGTTTTTCTGAAGAAGAAAACAGACTCCCAGGAGGGAAGATCATCTCTTTGGGATATAGACCACTGGACAGCAGAGCTGTAAGCCCACTCTGCCATGCTCTAGTTCCTGGCACATGCTCACTGAGTTGAACAGAAAAACAAGCCAGGATTGGTGTAATCCCACCACTTGGACCGGTTTGAGTTGGAGGTCAGCCTGAGCTACATAAGGAGCTACAAGCCAGGGCTACAAAGTAGGACCCTGTATCATAAAGCCCAAAATAAACAAACAAAAAGGCAAATACACTGGTGATGTCACACAAGTATGACCAACTCCCTGGGCCCAGGTACATGCTAGGTGTCAAACATGCTCCCACCCTCTAGAACTGATCCAGAGAAGTCTAGGTGAGCAGATTCCTCACTGGGATGCACTCCATGCATGGCAGGACTCCCTACCCTGCCCCCAGACCTCACCTCTGCACTTTGCTGGACATCTCAATGGGGCGGCCGATGTTTCTTGATTCCAGGCTGAAGCTGGGATCAAAGTACTCCTCGGGGGAAATAGCTGTGGGGTTGGTGGGGCTGGGGGCCTGCTGCACTGGAGCCTGAGTGGACCCAGGGCAGGACTTAGCCTTCAGTATGAACAGAAGGTGCCCCACCCACCGCGGTCTGGCCCAGCCCTTCCCCAGCCAAGCTCACCCCACTGTGGGAGGAGTGCTGCTGCGCCATCCCCAGGAAGGACTGGAACGGAGTCTTCCCCCCTGAGAAGAAGGAGTGGGAACCATGAGGGAACTTTGGGCAACTCCCAGGCCTGTGTTCTGTCATTGTCTGTCTGGGAGGCCCCTGCCGAATGGGAGAGAGGGAGGCCTCGCACCCTGCTGGGTGGTCAAGCCCTGGCTCAGACCACAGAATGACCGGGCAGCAGGCAGTCGCACCTGGGTTTACCTTTGCTCCTTAACTTGTCCTGATCAGAGAGGTGCTCCGTTCTTGTGCGTGTCACCAGCTCCACGTTGGTGGCACTGTACACCTGAGGATCAGGGGGACACATGGGGAACGCAGGGTTCAGAGTCTAGTTTTCGTCAGCCCAGGATCCAAGTCCTTCTGTTCCCTGAGACACAAAAAAGTTCCCCACAGGAGAGCAGATGGTAGGGTCTGAACCCCAGGAGTCATTAGCAGGGACATGTAGTCAGAGAGGCAAGAAAAACAAAACAAAACAAAAACACCCCTTATTTCATCCCAGAGCCTAAGGAGGGGTCAGCAGGGGCTGGATCTCTGGGCGGCCACTGAAAGTTACTTGGGCTGATTAGGTTTCTGGGATCAAAAAAACTGGGGCTGGAGCGATGGCTCAGAGGTTAAGAGCACTGACTGCTCTTCCAGAGGACCCGAGTTCCCAGCAACCACATGGTGGCTCACAACCATCAGTAATGAGATCTGGTGCTCTCTTCTGGCCTGAAGGCATACATGGAGGCAGAACACTGTATACATAATAAATAAATAAGTCTTTTAAACAACAACAAAAGAACCGATCTCACCTCTCTCTCCACAGCATGAAGGGTAAAGGAGCAGCCCCCAGGTCCCACAAGACTATCCCCCAAGTCCCCTAGCCCAGTAGCCCCTCTTGCCTTGGCCTCGTAGCCACTAACGGTCTCCATCTTCTCAGACCGCCATCCCCAGATACCGCATTTGTTCCTGCAACAGACCAGACAGGAGTAGTGAGGACACGCACCCCTCCCCCAGTACACAACCACAACAGACCAGACAGGAGTAGTGAGGACACGCACCCCTCCCCCAGTACACAACAAACATTCCTTCAGCTAGCTGGTGGCCCTGACTACTCAATTGCCAAGGTCCCTACCCACAGTGACACACAGAGGGGGCTGATCTAGGACTGGACAGCTAGAACATTTGCACAAGGGCAAGACCAGAAGTGTAAGAGTAATTATTTTATTGTTATTTATTATTAGGTATGACAATGGTGTTGGGGCTCAGTTAAAAACAGTGCAGAAATAAGAAGCATTTGTTACTGAGATAGTAAGATATCTAGAATGACTGTTTCTTCTTGTTGCTGTTTGAGACAAACACATATCCCTGGTTGCCCTAGAACTCACTATGTAAACCAGG